TATACACTGAGACTCAGGTGGCACCAAGGAGCACCACCCAACCACCCACACACAGAGATTGCGTGGCAGTACAGTAAACAAATCGAGCGTTTTCCTTCTACCTGCTAACCAACAGCAAAATGGCAAAAAAAAAAAAAGAAAATAAAACAATAATATTAAGTTGGTGCTGCCTCCGCTTTTTTTTTTTTTCCAAGAGGCTATGTGAGTGGGTGGATGGGTTAGTGGGTGGGTTTTTAGGCCCTCCAAGCGAGTGCCTTGGGTTCGGGGTCGTAGGTGGATTGGGTGGTTGGCTGGCTGGGTGCTTCGGTGGCTCAGTGAGTGGTTGAGTGGCTCGGGTGGTTGGCCATATGCAAAAGCGTCCGTTGGGCGCCACAATTTGCGCAGTGTATTGTTAGTCGATTGACTGATTCGAGAGCAAATTTGTTTTCTTTTTCGCCTTGGTTGTTGGGTACGCTTTCGCTCAATTAGGCAGATTTAAAGCAGTGGATTTCAAGGTCGTGGTTACCTTTTTTTTTTTGTATACTAAACACTTTCACTTTGTTTGTTGTATTTTCAATTTAATTTTCACACTGTTTTTTTGTAGATATTTGTGTTTTCTTAGTGTGCTTGTTTAACTCCGGCTGTAGGCCAATTAGCCTTGGCTGCTGCTGCTGCTGCTCAATGCCAAGATCTCAATTATTTATGCTTCATGGCCAATTAAGTACATTATGCTTTTTTTTCATTGTTTAACTGACGCCGCTATGTCTTCACTTTCTCTGCTTTCTTTGCGCGACAGCCACATGTCAGGCTCTTCCTCGAGGCTCCTTCTATTCCTGTTTTTCTTTCTTTTTGGGATTGTACAATTTCCCACCAAGGTTATTTTTAACTCGACATTCACATTTCACAGAGTTTGGCTTTCGTTTTCCGCCCGCTTCGCTTTCGATTTCACTCACTCGGGGGGCCCTTTGCGCTTTTCACTCTCGAATTTCGTTAGCGGGGATTTTCCGATTTTCCAGCAAACGTAATTTTGCTTATATTATGGATAGTAGAATATATATATATATTTTTTCTTTTTTTTTTTTTTGACACACGTGCGAATTTTGCGAGCAGGACCGCTGCGGCTGTTTACTCGCCTTTAAAGTTCATCGAAAACTAATTTCGTTTCGATTTCATAAAAAATCTCAATGGAATTTTCGCTTTACGCTGCCATTCGCTTTCCCTTGCGCCTACTCGCTCTTTCTTTCTCTCTCCCTCTCTCTCTCTGTCTCTCGGTGGCTGTTGTTGTTGTTTCTGTTGGAGCCTACAACGTTTCCAATAACAATGTTACACGGCGAACCAGCGAACCAGTGTGGTTGTTGTTGCTGCTACCACATTTCCATGGCACTTCCAGTGCCGAACTAAAAATAAAGTTAAGCGCGTGGCCAACACCGCTGCCACTGCCTCTGCCACAGTCGACGCAGCAGCCAGCAGCGATAACATTGACAGCTGCTGCCACCCACCGACCATCGCCCACTTTCTACCTATCTAGCTACCTCCCATAACCCGCCGCCCACTTTAGGGTCAGCGGGTTTTTCTTTGTATGTGTGTGCGTGTTTCTGTGCTTGTGTACGAGTATGTTGCTGTTTGTGTTTGCCACCTTCAAGGCGAATCTCTGGCAAAGTCAACGTGTTTGTCTTTGCCTTCCAGCAAAGCAGGCGGTGGGTCAATGGGTGGTGCTCCTGCGCGTGCTGGATGCGGAAAAGCCAGGAACTAAAGCGGACGGATTACTGACACTGCCACTGCCACTGCAAGTGCATGTGCATTCGTTGTTGTTGCTGGCTGTAGTAAGGACCATGACGCTGCACAAAAACCCCCGAATCGAAAAAGGCAGTGAATGAAATGACGTCGCTGCAAAGGGAAACCCAAACTGGGAAGAGGACTCCACTCGAATTGCAACAAAAAGCAGGAGACACCAAGAGCTGTTAGTGGCTAATGTGACGCAGATTGAGGTAGTTATAAAAAAGAGTTCAGGAATTTAGAGGAATTAACTTGCCTAAAATAGAAATTAAAGAGGTAGAAATTCTGTTGTTAAGACTTTCTACCAAGTTAGAAGTCCTTTTGAATATTAAAAAAATTGTAAAATATTATGGAATTTTTTGATAAGTTATTAATTAATAAATACTGGTTTATAAACTATTTCCAACTGGAAAATTTAGTTCTCCTAAAAAGATACCAGTAAGAGGAGATTATCTTTTCTTACTAAACTAGTTTAAACTAGTTTAAAAATCCTAAAACAAAATTATTTTTTTGCATAATAATCTCAGAAATTTAATGGAATTCCCTTTTATAGTAGCCAAAAAATTCAGTCAAAATAATTTTACTTTTCTCAATCGTGGGTTAAGTTAAAAATTTGTGTGAGTTTACGCGCGCTTCACGCCAACATCAGCTGCTCATCTGCCTCGCCCACCCACTTGACCACCCACCGTCAGTGGAAGTGGATGTAAGAACCACAACAAGGGGATCGACGTAAACGGAGGGGAAAAGTGCAGCGCATGCGTCTAGCTGAAGCACGATGGTGTGTGGGAATTTTCCAAGCTAGTCTTTGGACGGGAAATTCCAACGCATGACGTCTGGCGGTACACTGTGATTATTGTGAACTGGCAACAACACAGATTGGTGAGTTTTTGGTGGCAGAACTTTGGTGAATTCGGAGTGCAGTTGCACTATCAAATAGAATCCACATGGCATCCAACCAGCTTGCCATCCACCCACGTTTCCCATTTTCCCCTAGAGACTTTCACTTGCTTCGGTTTCGGTTTCGATTTCGATTTCTTTTATCACTTTTCTGCATTTTGGCATTTAATTTATGGAAGGCAGACATAAGTTTTGCCCCACCTGGTTATCAATGTGGTTGCACGCCAGATCAGGTGGGTGGGTGGTTCTGTAACTTTTGTGCGCCTAATTTTATGCCACACTCTGTGGCTCACGAGCACTCACACACACAAACACACACTCAAATTTACTGTAAGCCTCAGGCCAAAGTTGAAATCAATAATTATTATATGCTAGTTTGTTGGGAAATTGAAAATGACAGAAGGAGTTGTGTGGGCGGGGCTGGTGTAAGGATGGTGTAAGTGCAACATGCTTGCCAGAAACTTGCGCGCTAATGTGCAGCAATAAAAAATTTAAATCACCAAGCGCCGCATGTTGCACTACCACCGAAACACTCACTTAAAGAAAATAAGCCAGCGCAAAATTCTAGGACTTTTCAGGAGAAAACTCTTTAAGATTATAGAAAGAAATCTAGCCCTGGATTAGGATTAATAAGTGAAGATCAAAATGATGCTTATTGGATCCAAATTTTAGTCAATAAGCAACAATTTGGTGATTGATTTCTGATGGCTATTTTTCTGAGTGCATGCCAAACTGTCGCCTGCCGACGGGGGTGAAGAGGGCGGGATTTAAGGGTGGCAGAACTGCAGCAAGTGCCAACAAGAAACTTTCTAATTAGGATAATAAATTTGCCAGCATCGCACTTGACAACGTCGCCCGGCATCTCTCAAAACATGAAGAGCAGAAGGAAGCTCAGGCCCAGGCACAACCCATTGCTTCACCCCCTAAAGGAAATGCCACTACGCCCACTTTGCCTCCCACCATCATAAGGCAAGTGCAGCTGCTTGGCCAACTTCTTGATGTTTTGTGGTGGCTGCCAAAAAGGAAAAGCTGCCTTCGTTTTGCCCCTTTTTTTTCGCCACTGCCTTTGGGTTTCCCTGTTTGGAAAATGTGTTTTCGGGTCAGCTGTGTGCAACCTTCCTGCCTTCCTAGCACTGGCATATAATTTATGCTGATTGCATTTAACGGCCAGCGCGGTACAACAACAACAACAGCAACAACAACAAGAATACGGCAAAGTGAAAGTGTGCAGCGTCCAGGAGTGCGCACTTGTCTCGGTGGTGGCTCTTTTGGCCTTTCTCTCTGTAAACAATTTATTTTTATTTTCGCCGCTTCCGCGGCACCTTCTTCTGCGCTTTACTCGAGCCGAAAGCCTGCCCCCCCCTGACCACGCTTTCCCGCCACCCTTTTCAGATTTTCCTTTTCCATTCGCTGGCTGTTGTCGAGCGCCGAGTCAAGTGCCCCCGAGATAAGCGCATCGAAATGTTTCCGCTACAAAACATTCCTCGCCATTCGCCTTTCGCTTTTTCGTGTGCCCTCAGTTTCCATCCATTTTCCTTGCTTTTCCCACGAACTGCACGTGTGTGTGAGGGCCATGTGTATGGGTGTGTGTGTGTGTTTGTGTGCCTGAGTGGGCGTGTTGTGGGTGAGTGCGCTCTCTATTTTTATAACCCCCGGCATGCAAGTTGCGTTTTTCCTTTTGCGGGTAAGAAATGTTTGCCAAAAACTTTTCCAGTTTAGCAGCTTAAACTTTCATTTTTGAGCAAAGCGCAAATTTAGGGGTTTCCTTATCCAGCTTAAATCGAACTTAAGGCCTTAAATTAAGCTTAGAGTTAACTTAAAAGGGATGAGTTTAGTAGACATTGAAAATTAAATACATATATACATATACACCGGATAAACGATAAACACAGAAATGTGAGGCGAAACAGAAGTTAAAGTTTGATTTTTTTTTTGGAAAAACATCAAATATTGAATATCAAAATGGAGTTAAAGAAAAAGACAACGCACCAATGTAAGACAAGAGAGTGCTACGTTTTCGAAAGTTTGCTTTTTTTTTTTTGAAAGATTGATTGGATATAGAAGTTGGTTTTGTAGAGCGAGCGAGTCAAAGAGAGTTTACATTTAGAGAGAGATAGTGAATTATATTTAGGAAAATTTAAATTGGATTTGGATTTCGGGGCATTGCCATGGGGAGACATTCAGAGCAGAAAATATGGAAGCGATAGAGATAGACGGGGGGAGGTAGGGATCAAAGGAGAGTGAGACAGAGGAGGATCACTGAGGCAAGCTCGGTGGGAGATAGAGCAGAGATAGAGAGAAGGGTAGAGAGCTGGATGCACGAAATTGGACAAAACGTCTCAACTCACCGTCATAATCCGATCCAGCGGTCACCGTGGCCACTCCTCCAGATCCTGCTGCTTGGGCCTGGGCGGCCAGCAATTGTTGCTGGAACTCCTCCTCGGAACTGCTGAAGGATCTCTGCTGCTGTGAAGCATACTGCGACCCTGCCAGAGCTCGTCGCTGCTGCTGCTGCTGTTGCTGCTGGCTGTAGGCACTGGAGTCCATGGCATGGCCACCGCTGATGGTCAGGTTGCGGGTCAAAGGTGGCGCCTTCTGATAGCCACCCATCTGCGACATTTGTTGGCCATGTTGCTGGTGCTGTTGCATCTGCTGATGTTGCGGCTGTTGGTGTATCTGCGCTTGGTAGGATTGCTGCACCTGCTGTTGCCTGCCTGCAAATTGCTGCGAATGTTGCTGTTGCTGCTGCTGAGGATGTTGCTGCGGTGACGGGCGATGCTGCTGCGGCATAAGATGTTGCTGCTGCTGTTGTTGTTGGTGTTGCTGGTGCTGAGATTGCTGCTGATGCTGCTGTTGCTGGTGCTGCGAATGCGACTGCGACTGAGGAGGATGTTGCGGCTGCACCTGGCTAGGATGAGCCAGATGGGGATGCTGCCTCATCAGGCCATCCAGTTCACCCTGCAAAGATTCAAAAAGCGATTAACTATCTTGCAACAACAGGTTAATACGTTGACTAATGAACTAATTCGGTTCCAAAAACCTCTTATTTTCTTTCCATAAGGATTCTTTAGAAGTACTCACCTGATAGTATCGCGGATCATCGTCAGGATAGGCACCACCGGATCTCTGTTGCTGCTGCTGCATACTGTATCCCTGCTGCGCCTGCTGTGGATTCATTGGCTGCATCCTGGAGCGCTGCTGCTGCTGGTGGTGCTGCATTTGCTGGCCGGGACTCATCATGGGATCCATTCCACTATCAGAGGCCGAGAGCCGTCGGTTCGTGGGCTGCTCCTGCTGCGAGTACTGACGCCTCAGCATACTGCCCGCCCGCTGCATCGGCAGATTCTCCTTCTCTGCAGCACTGCGTGTCCGTTCCAACTTGGGCCGCTTGTCTGTGGTGTCATGTGGATCCACGATGGGGTGCTGCGAAATGTCCTGTCGGATGTAATAAACCTTGATCTGCTGGTCAAGGCCAGAGTAAATAGATCTACTCACGCTGCTCCCATCCGGCTCGATGCGTCGGATGAAACCGTCTTGTTGGGCCGCCGTCTTGTTGATCCATTGGCCAGTCTTGGACAGCAGCTCCTGTTTCTTGCGGCACAGTATACACACCCAAATCACCTGGAATGTAAAAGGGATATTTGAAATAAGTGTTAATTATAAGAAAAGGATTTGTAGAGGATTAAAGTTGAAGAGATCTGAGAAGCAGGTCAGATAGTTCCTATTCTAAACTTGGTAAACTTATTACTTAAGTGAACCCAACCAAGTCCCCAGATCCTTTTGGTGTCACTCTTCAATGTTTTCCACTCACCCTTTTGCCTGTACGTCAAAAGATTGAAAGCAATCTAGCTCACCCAGGTGCTTCACTCATTCGAACACACCAAGTTCCGGCAACCTCCCGAGAATTTATACGTGAAACTGCTACGCTTTCAAATTTGCGACCAGGCTGTGCCATGGACGAGTTACTAAATCTGAGTCTCAGCGGCATACACAATCACTTCGATGAGTTTTTAGAGTTAGAAGATGACGATGAGAGTTTTGTGAATGATGAAGCTACTGACGCTGAGGTGCCAGGGCTGCTGTATTACTGTAGCAAATTCTACGAACTTCTGAGTGGAAATATCTTTCTAACCACCTACGTGGAACGCGGAAGGAATGAATATTTCGCTGGCTTTAGCAATATTCAATTTGTGGCTCTTCTCCATAATGATCGACATTCAGAGCAGTACTGCTGGATCCACCTGTCGCTCGTTTTCCGAGCTTTCAGATCCACGGCATCAGCCTAGAGAAGCAACCAGCCCAGCGTATGTCACAGCCAAATTGAAATTCCATTTGGCATTTCTTTGGAGTTGTTGGGCCATCTCGTTTCATTTTTCGCCCTGGCATTCATTTCTTAACCCTCCCCCACCCAGAAAGTCCACATTTCTGCCCTTTTGGGGCTTTTGTATCTGTGTATGTGTATGTGTGACATTTTGGCAGCAGTTCAACGGAAAAACGTTTGGCAGCACGGCCAGAAAATGATAAGCCTGGCCAGCGGAAAAAAGGGGGAAACAACCAAGGAAACGGTTCACTGAGTTAAATAAAAATTGAAAAAAGTGTAATTGAAATGCAATGCATTTGCGGGGGCGAAGGCGAAGGCGGTAGAGGTGGAGTGGATTTAAAAGAAGAGACCAGAAAATGCGGAGGGAACTTTCTTCAATGCCAGTAAAAGATATCCAGCCATCAAGGTTACTGGTTACTAGTTATGGTGCCCCGAAATAAATGTTATTGAATGAAAATATAGAGTTAAGGAAAAGCAAACTATATAGATATATATCTAACCTGTTCTGCTTAAACTAAAAATAAACTACTAGAACTGTTTCTTAATTAACAAAATTCATATTTTCCCTTTAAAGTTTCCTTGATTTTTATTTTGTAATCTATTTCTGGCATCTATTTCTGAAACTGAGGGGCTTCGTCATCTTATATCCTTGACCAGAGGCATCGCTTGAAACTGGAAATTATTTCTAAATTATGAGTGTCAAATTGAGAGGCGCCAGGGTGGAAGGAATGATAGTAGTCCTGGTTCTTGGGACGGGGAATGTATATCCTTCATATCCGCCACCCACTCGATTTCGCCCAACGCCAATTATCCTGGACTGCGAGGCGACAAAGGGCATTTATTCATGCGCTCCACGCGTCACTGGGGACAGTTGGCAACAAGCGTTGTTGGCCTATGGCCTATGGCTATGTCGATGTGGCAATGGGGCGTATGAGTGATGGCTGCTTAGTCAAGCGGCAGCGCCGGGTCGCCAGTAATATTGGCACCAGCGTTGTCCTATTTGTCAATGAGCGGAAAATGAGCTCGACACCCTTAAAGAAAAAAAGAAACCCAACCATTTTCCCGCTGTCACGCGCGCTTCGACGAGTGTCTAAGCCCGATGGCAGGACACTTAGCCAAGGAGTGAAAATCCAAAAGGAGCTGTCAGGTGAATGGAATGGGATCTTTGCACTCACCTTGTTGCTGCGGAGTGTCACCTTGCCGCCGCATCGAGCGCAGCAGCGTATGTTGCAGTAGTGGCAAATGTGGCCAACACCGTCGGCGAACTTGGTCTTAAGGCATATGTGACAGGTGGCATCCAGCTCGACGCCGGCCTTCTTCTGCTGCTCGGAGCGCTGTCTGATTTGCATTTCCAGCGTGACCACCTCGTCCTGTTTGCGACTGCAAAAGGGATCAAGATATCAAGAAATCAATTTCAGATAAAAATTCAAGAAAGAAAGAACATAGGGTAAGGTAAGTTTTAAGTCCAAAATTTAAGAAGGAAATAATGAAATTTCCAAGAAAATGTATCTTAAAGATAAAACAGATTAACAAATGCTACTATAACTGACTCCCAAACTCACCGCATGATCTCGTTTTGTTTCTCCTCCTCCTGCTTCTGCCGCATAAGGACATTCTCGATCTGCATCCGCTCATGCGGAGTGAGGTGCGACAGATCGGGCATTTCGTCCATGGCTTCCGGTCTAAGGATGTCCTTTGGTGGAATTGTGGTACTGAACGCTAAGGTCGTTAACGTGTGTGTGTGTTGGTATCTTTGACTAGCGTTAGCTGCTCTAATTAGTCGCAGTGTAATAAACTTTCGATTGGTAATTTTTTATATAAAGAAATTTGTTGATTTACGTTTTCGATTGGATTTAAAGCTTTTCTTTTGGGGACTTGATAAACTTTTAGCTTGTTTTCGGTTGCTTGGAATGCAGTTTAGCAATATATATATTTTATAAATACTTTATGTTATTAAATATTAGTATTATTATTATTTATTATTTGGATTACCAAACCATTTCTGATAGAAAATCACAGAGCAAATTTCAAAATTTTTATGGTTTTTTGTTTTTATTTTTGTTGTTGGTTTTTTGTTTTGTAATGAACTTTTGTTTAAATTTGTTTTGTAGACTTTTGGAAATTCGTTGAAAATTGTTCACAATGCACTCGTCGTCGTTCTTCTTTTGTGTCCGTGTATTTGTTGAATGTTTTATGTATTTTATGCGCTCCGTATGCTTGTGTTTGTGCTGCGGTCTGTATATACGTGTGTGTGTGTGTGTGTGCGTTTGCCCTCTGACCCCTTTTTCACTGGCGACTTTCTTATTGTGCACTGGTTTTTTGTGTGTGCTGTTTCCTTCCTCTTTGTTTAGACCTTTGTATTTCTTTGGCTGAATGCAAATTTGAGTGGAAAATTCGTTTCTGGTTTTTGTTTCATTTCTCCATCGCTCTATATCGTTGTCGGGCCTTTGTTGTTGTTTCTAATTGCTGTTGCTGCTGTTGCTTTTGCAGCCTTTGCCAAGTAAGTTGCGTCCTTTTCAGTTTCTGCTGTTGCTGCCCAGTGCGTTGCGTTGCCATTTTTTTGCATCGAGATCGTTCCGTTCCGAATTGCAGGCCACTCGTTTTAAGGGGAGTTTATGGCCCCCGGTTGTTTAGCACTGCAAGAAGGAAAAAAGAATTAGATTTAAAAGTTTTTAAAGAGAATTTTAAACTAGTTATATGGTAAATCCTACTTTTATTTAGATATTATTCATCTTATGTCTAGAGAAAATATTTTTAAACCTTTACCAATAGCTTCTTATAGGTCTTCTTCTAGTTTAACTTGCATCTATAAGCCATTTCCTTAACTTTTTAATCATCAACACATATTTTAACCGATTAATTTGCCACGCAACTGAAGGCAAAACTCTTTCGTTCCGAGTGAAACATTTAATTAAAACTCGTAAACCAAATGCAATGTGAAATTTAAAAAACAAACAAAAAGTAAGCCAGGAGGAAATGAGAATTTTAACGAGATGAGCAGTGCGGGCAAAGCAGGCATATAAGGAAGGGAGGGGGATGGAAAGGGGGGGTGCCAGGGTGGTCAGTATCTGGCCGCAATGCAAACATATGTAACTGTATTTATGGCCATCAACGTGCCAGGGCAAACAACCAGCCGCAAAACCAGGCAGGTCCCTTAGTGCGATGGCGATGGCGATGGAGATGGAGATGGAGAGGGTTGAGAGGAATACGGAAAGGAAGGGGCTACGGGGGCACTGCGGTTGACACCGTGACGCACGTACAAAATGCGAAAATATATATGAGGCCATGCACAAATACGCTGAGAAAAAAAAACTCTGACCGTTGTTGTTATAAGAATTTTGGTAATAAATTAATAATGAAAGTAAATGAAAATGTATTTGAATTCAAGTAAATCCAAAATTCTAGTATTTTCTTATTTATCCATGAAGATTGTATAGCATAGGACTTATATAAATCAATACATTTTTTTTCAGTGCCCTCGCAAACACTTACGCATAAGAGGAGATTGCCTAGCCAGACGGAAGAGCACAGGGACGAAGGAAAATGGGTTGGGGATTTGCGGGGCAGAGTAGGCTATTTATATAGACGAACCCATTGGAAGACTGCAGAGTGCAACCGGAAGCAGACACTTCACTTGCAGGGGAGCAAAATATGCTTTCATGCGGCTCATTTCCTTTGGCTGAAAGGCGTTCGAAATTAGTATTCAATGGGCCAGGAAGCAATCCAAGCCATCGTAATTAAAAGCCATCAAGCAGGCTGCGCAAAATGAAGTAAGCCAGATGCCCAACAGATAGGCGACTTAGCCAGGATATCGACCTCTAATCCTATTTGAAAGCAGCAATCCGAAAGCTTAGGGCAGGACCAACGAAGACTTAGGACCAGCTGCATTAGACGATGTGAGTCCGCCTTGCAGAAGCTGTGATTGCATGAAGTGGCCATTGGTTATGACCCACGCCTCACTGAGAACAATTTCCCAAGCTCCCAAAACAAATATCTTTACGAGATTGTCGTCGTCAACTTGCCCCGCCGACCCAATTTTAATCAATTTGAGTTTGGGAAACATTAAAAACCATGTCGCCATCATCAACTACATGAAAAATCCGATTGATTTCTCTCATGAATGTGTATTTATTGCTGGTTTATGGGGCATCCTTAGGGCATGCACACACACATCTACGCATATTTACAGAGGGAGAAAAAGTTATTGTCCTTTCTTGTCCTTTCTCACTAGTCTCTAAGAAAGTTATTAGTTCTAAAGAGACTTTTAACTAGTTCCATCTTCTTAAGAAACAAATTCTTGCCTATTTTTCTGTCTTTTTAGGAGTTCTAAATCTAAGCTAAATGTCACCCTTATTTCTTCCTGTGCACTTGCAACCCCCTCTTGGCCCATAACTTATGTAGTTCAAGCGAGATAAAATCCAGCTTCCATGGTGTTTATGGGCCTGCTTTATGCTGCCATCCACAGAGGTCCTCCTCCGGCGATGGCGTGTATCTTGTATCTGCTATACGGTATACGGTTTATACTATATACGTTATATGGTGTCTTGTGTTTCAGCGGGAGCTCATGAATTGATAATGCAGCAGATGCAGCATGCTGCCTTCTGCCTGCTGCCTGCAACAACAACAACAGCAGCAGCGTCAACGTGGCATGCAAAATTGATGGTTGCGTTGGGTGGCTGCTGGGTTGGTTGGGGCTTAAGTAGCTGCTTTATGGGCAACCAAGAAGGAGGACCAGTAGGATATCTAAGGGAGTTAAGGATATGGAACTTGTTAACTGCCTGGCAGGACCAAATTTAATACCAGAAATCAATCTTGTGGCTCTTCAATCAATTGATTACGATGCCAAAGATTGCTCAGCTTGTTAACAGTTCTCCTTCTTGGCCTTACTTTTCTTAAAAAAGTTTCCGAAAATGAAAGACAGGAAAATACAAAAATCAGCATATTAACTGAGAGAGAAGTAAAATGCACAAGAGAGAAGAGAAAGAGTGTTAACATTTCACCACGAACTCCTCTCAATGCGCGCGCTTTTCTTGAGGGCGCGCTAACTGCTTTTAACTGCTCAGCAGTGAGTGAATTTCCCCCAGGAATTTCCCCTTGTAAATTTCCCAGCCACCTGCTTCGCAGTAGATAGAAATTTCATGCGCTGACCGCGCGAACTTAGCAGCAGCGACAACAACAACAACCACAATAGCAATTACTAAGGCAAAGAAAAAGAAAGAAAAAAGAGAAAAAAAACGCAGCAATAGAAAAACCCCAAAGCAGGGCAGAGGGAAAACTTATCAGGCACAAGGATGAATTATAATAATAATGAAAAATCCAGGGGTACGGGCTTTGCGGGTGTACATTCTGCATTCCTTGTCCACTGGCCAAGGTTATTTCCACATTACGCATACGCCCCGCGGCCAACGGAAAAAGGGAATATGGCTCTATGGCATCGCCATCACATGGGAGTGCACGGAGTGCACAAATGTGAAAGTTCACTGCCAGCAAATGCAACTGCAGCTCCTGCCCAGCTGATAATTGACACTTTCAATTAGCCATCGCAATCAGCAACAGAAGCGGCGGCCCAACAACAACAAACAAGAACACAATGTGCCCAGCGGCAAGGAAACCTCATCGGAAATGCATTTGAAATGCTTGAAAAACAGCACGGAGAACACAAGAAAGCCATCAAGCCAAAAGGTCAAAATGCTAAATGGCTAACCGCAATCGAAAACAATATGAGTTTTATGTACATGTTGATAAATATAAATTAATTTTAGTAAGAGAGCTGTGGCTATATTTAGGACAAAGTAAGATTTGGGAAAGTTCCTTAGGAAAAAATACAACAACAAAATCTAAATCCAAACTAAAGTAATCATAGTACCTTTATAAAGCTTGATAAAAATAGCTTTAATTTATTGTAGTAAAAAAGAGAAAGAAAGTTTTCAACATATCTCACTGAAAAGTCAATCTCTCCTTTAAAGCAAAAGTCAAAAATACTTCATTATTCATATTAAATGTAAACTCTGCACACACGCTAGTCAAATAACAGCTGTGTTTGTCAACAAAAAATAAAATTTAATGAAATTTTAACTGGAAAATTTAATGAATAATATATAAGCTCTAACGAAAGTTCTCATTCGGCTTGGATAGTTTCGTAAACAAGTCGCTTTTTCGGAAAGGAAAAGCCAATAATTTCTCTTCTCGTTCATGATTGCAATCGTTGCTATTCCAATTACTTAATTCCTGGAAAAACTACACCCTTTCCCCTATGCAATTTCACTTTAAATTTTAACCCCCTGACATATTTTGTAGTTTTGCACTTATTTTCATCCACCAAAAGGGCAAAGTTTCAACTGGTTGTTGGGTTAGGAGGAAGAACTGGGTCATTTATCAACTGACATCACCTGTCAACGGGGGGTTTCCTTATCGAGCTAAATACTGCATATATATAGTGTTGTCCCCGTGACGTCACGCCGCCTGTAGAGAGATCGCTGAAAATTTATGCAGATAACTGAATTGGCTAGCGAAATTTTCATGGCGTCAGCCATTTTTAGCCAACGGGTGCAATGGACTTGGTAAAACTCGCTTTTCCCTTTGTACACTTCTGCCATTCGCAGGATACTAACACACACACACACACACCGAATAGAGCCATAAAAGAAAACGTGGCCAAGTAGCCGTTTGTTGTTGCAGCCAAAAACTATAAACGAGGCAATGACTTGGTGACTTTTTGCGGTGGCCTGCCAAATGGAACGTCTTAGGGGTACTTCTTCCCCCGCCAGCCTGACTAATGACCATTTTACATTCGTGGCTAGCCGTTGCTCGGTTGATTCATGACTATTTTGTTTTGGGCCTTAGTCCCACAGTCTATAATTGTACTTATTCATTCATAGTTGGCAACTGCCGCCAAACAAAAGTCGTTGACTCGGCTGTGTGTGTGGGCATGGCTAGAAAGGATATCTATTGCCTTTTTTTTCCCCGGAAAAGGAAAGATGGAACAATGCCACTTTGTCGTTTGGCTTGTTCAACTTTTTCAATTGCGCGCACAATTTCCATGCAATTAACGGCAAACAAATACGACCGACAAAAACTTGTCAACGATTCCGAGGGGGAGCGGGGGTGAGGTACTGGGCATAAAACTGAAAGTTGCACCAACAAGAGAGGCATTGAATATGTTCTACTAGGCGGTGGAAAAGTGGCGAAAAGGGCGAGCAATGACATCGAAGCATAAAAAGCAATTTCATGCACCCATTGACCCTCGCAAAGTGGAATGGGGGAAACGATGAGAGGACGAGGAGGTGGTAATGTCAATGGATAGTTGTTGCTGCTGTAATGATGTCCAACCATGCCAAACAGTACGCCCACAAACGCCCACTTGTATCCATACAACAAAGACCTTTACCAATTGTGGGCTGTCCCACCATTACTCATACGCCTCGTGTGCATTGTCAAACATTTATGACGTCCATTTTGGTCCGGGGGTATGTATGATTTTTAGTGTGTTTGTTGTGTGTGGTGGGTGCTTGTGTCGTCATTACCATCATTTGTCTATATCTAGATACCCATGCCTAGGCCCCTGCCTCTGATTTCTTGTTGCCTAGTGACGTTCGCCATTTGCCAAGTGAATCGAGTGAAAAGGAAAATCGATTCCAACTGACTGCCTGTTGCTGTTTGCTACTAGTTTACCTTTTAATTAAATTTAACGCCCATCGATGGGGCAGAAGACCACCCATCACCCACACACATCCATTTACTATTCATTACTGGCCAGTAAACAGAGCAGTAACAGCCACAAAAGAGAAGAAACATGCAGACAACAGAGAGAACAGAGGGGCAAAATGTTGTGGCAATTTCTCGGCCATTGTTCGTCATTGTTTTGGGGCAACTGTTGATGTTATTGAGTCTTTGATTTCTTAATAGATACAGGCTAATTTTTTCACTAAAACTAAATTTAGTTCATTTTCTATTTTAACTTACATGCATTGCTCTATCAAGTTGTTGTGTAAACGGCGTTGTCTATACATTCGTTGTTTGTTTTTTTTTTTTATAGATTTTTAATTTCATTGGTTTAAGTTTTGGTTGGTTTTACCAATAAGAAAAGAGTTCTTGTTCTTTGGTTATTTCGTTTGGCTATTTACAAGGCTTTTTGTTGATTTTCATATATTTAATAAACTTGAAAACTGCTTGGTAGGAAGGTATTCGTTAAGGCTTTTAATAATTTATGTATTATTATTTTTAATAAACACTAAAACAGCTCTCGTTATTTGTTGTTTCTCTAGCGAGCTTCGCTTGTCGTCTAAGTGTAAAGTTGAAGTTGAGTTGTAATTATGTTGCATGCTGCCTCTATTGTAGTAACTCACAAACACACTCACACACTTGGGGAATGGTAGCGAAAGGGAGAGAGCGAGAGAGGGAGAGAGAGAGAGAGAGCGAGTGAGAGAGGACACTGCAGCTGGCAGGAAATACTGGGATGTTATTGTGCCAATACTGGGTTTTTTTCACACACACAAACACACAATGGAGGCCAAAGGCCAACATGGGTTAGCCAAGTTAATCATACGCACTGTAGTACATAAAAAAAAAAAGATATTACTTTACATTGGTTTATAATTTTCAAGTATATCAAAGTAAATATTAACTAATATTACTTTAAAGGTACTTTAGGCTTAACTTGTTTTGACCAACTTTCCTTAATGTTGATTGTGTGTGTGTGGTGAACTCTCTCTCTTTTTAACCAACTCTCTCACTCGACTTTTCACCCGCATTAATAGTAACTTTTGTTGTAAAAGAAAAGGGAATAATTGAATGAATTTTCCATACTTTTACAGTTTATGAAAAAAAAAGAGTAGTTAAGAAATCTACTTCAGCAATTTCCCTAATGAAATTCTTCCTTTGGCTCAAGGATAAAGGACAACAGTTAACTGCTCTGCATGTCTGTGTGTTGCGCTGTGTATGTGTGGCTTTATTTTTCTGCATATTTAATGCGTTCATCCGCACCGAATCCTGGCCAAAAGGATCACGGCCAACACAACAAAGGAGAGGCGCAGAGGCGAGAAGTCGAGGAGGAGAGAGAGAAGAACGGAGAGAGGAGAGTTTTTGGGTGGGATTGCGTGGCGTTGTGTGTACAGAAAAAAGCAACCAGCTCACGAACAGCGAAAAAAAAAGTGAAGAACGAATCAAATTTTCTTTTTTTTTTTTCTCTTGTCAAAAGGGGGAAAACCAATGAAAAATTCAGCAATTTCTTACATTTTTTATACACTTTTTGTTGTTAATGGTTGGTTGGTTGGTTGGTTGGTTGTTGTTGTTGTAGCTGTATTGTGGTTGTGGTCATTAGCTTAAATCACAATTGGTTTGCACTTAGATTTTATGTAGATTTGTGTGTGTATAACATATACGTATATATCTCTATATATGTTTGTGTGTGTGTGTGTGTATGTAGGGATATATATATATATCTATGTGTGCAGCATTCCATATGCGCAAATTAATTTTCCGTTTAGCGAACTCATTTTCTTTTCTTTTTTTTTGTATTTTTGTTGGTTTTTGAATTGTTGTTTTTTTGGTGGCGCTTAAAGCCTGATGTTGCTGTTGGTTGTGTTGGTGTTGCTGCTGTTGCTGCTGCTGCTGCTGTACTGCCTGCTGCACTGCCAACAACAACTATATGGAGTGCGGCGACAACAACAACGACAACGACGACGGATGCGACGACGGCAACGACATCACGACGGCACGACAACGACTGAAAACTGGACCCGCAGCTGGAGCTGAAAAAGCTATGGCCCACGATATGGCCCACCTACATCAGGAATTCGCTTCGATTGTCGTCAGCAGTTCAGGAATTTCTCTCTCTCTCTCTCTCTCTTTCTCTCTGTCTGGCTATCCCCCATATCCCTGGTTCTCTCTCAGGGAATCACTTGCTTGCTCTCTCGCTATCTGATTCTTGTGGTGAATTGACCAGGGAGTTGTTAACCAGGCATGTGGGAGCACATGTTTCTCTCAGTGTTATGAGTGGCTTTTCATATTTCATGTGCAATTTTAACACCTACTACAAACTAACTGCTCTAATAAATGTTAGTGTGTGCATGTATGTGTGTGTGTGTGACTTCAACTCCCCCTATATATCCGCCCCTTTGGGCATTACATGCTCATATAGTTGTTTTGGGCAAACATTAAGCAACAACACATCGTGTTGCATATTCATAAAATTCAACTCCTCATGCTCGTTCGGAGGGGGGCGTGTGTGTTTATGGAAATGTGTTGTGATACTCCCCCTTGTGCTGTTGCCAAAAAGAAAAACACAGTTTTTCATTGCATTTGGGTATGGTGTTGCAGTAGCAGCAGCAGCAGAAGCAGCAACAGCAACACCAGCAGCAGCAAATTGGAACGAATCACTTTTTATTGCATACTTTGGGGGTCAGCAACATGAGGGGCAGCGATCGTTGTATCGCATGATTGAAAAGATTTGGGGGAGCTCAATAGGGTTTAAAAATGCAATAAAATTGCTCACATGTGCAGCGGGATAGTAAAAATATATGAAGGCCTTTAGTTAAACATGTTTTTAGTTTATTTTTAGTTTATTGATATCGAAAGAAAGTCCAAAAACGTACTTTTTCTCTTTTCCTAATCGGGATTAATTGAAAGACTTTTTCTTACATTTATTTAACTTATATTTTCATATATTTACTTACTTTTAAATCATTCCTTGTTTTCCCTTTAAAATCCATCTAAATAATATTTATTTTTAGGCACTCAGCATCTGACTTTGACCTTAGCACATCAAGTGCTTGTCAAAAATATCCAACACACTAAGCCTATAAAATTTGTACACTTCTGTTGCATATTTTCGCAATTGGCTTGAGTTGTCATGGCTGCTCTCGCATTTATCTGCCAGCTTATCGCAGGCATCATGAGATTTGGCATAAATTGTCAGAGACACTCCAGCCCTGCCATTCTCCGCCTGCCTTTCTTGCGTGCCCCTCGGCCATTTCTAGCCTCAGTGCATTTTCTTTACATTGGTTTGGCCAGAGACGACGAAAAACACAGAGAAAAATAAGGTAAATACTCTGGCGAATACTAAATCGATTTTAGAAGTGGAAACAAGTCCTTCTTCTTATTCAAAAACGTTGCTCTTTTCGTTTAAAATTAAAAATGACTAAAAAACCGTAAATCAGAAGTAGTATAGAAAATGTAATGATATATTTTGAACCCCATTACACACACACATAATATACCTATTTTACCATCACTTGTAAATGTTAATATTTCTCCCAGTGTAAGGCATCTAAAAGCAGAAAGATAAACGCGTTTCTGGATGTCGAAACTCTTAGTCCATTGCTGATAGCCTGCTCACGTGCAGAGTCTTCGGCTCCACAACACACGCACACTCGCACACTCGCCGGTACTAACACACCCACAAACATAAACGCACACGGAGACACGAAGGGGAGCGATTGGATTTCCGGTGGAGATGAGTGCGCACTCCGTGGGAGGTGGGTGCGGCAGGCGGAGTCTGGGAGAGCCAGGAGCAGCGTGTTTGGCCACCAGCATTTTCCGATGTTGCCGCTTACATTGTATGTGTGCGTGTATATGTTTGAGTGTGTAAAAGTGTGTCTGGACGGCTGACGTCATTGAGCTTTTTATTGATTTTCATTTTAACCAAATAAAAAAAAAAACAAGAAAAAAATAAGGACTCTGGCAAGCTGAAGAAGAAATACTTGGGTTAGGACGAAGGGCAGGAAGGCCAACAGATGTCAGCCAAGAAACGACGAGAGACGCAATTAAAGAGAGCGAGAGAGATTGTAAAGGGGTTTTCCGAGGGGGTTTTTAATGTGGTTTTCGACTTGCCTGCCGACTGAGGAAGTTAATGATAAATACTATAAAAAGGCACACCACATCATTGGCATAAGATGACTTCCATTGTACAACCTGCAAGTAAATAAAATCGTATAATCGTGTAATTTAATTTGGTGTTTACATTTAGCCCAACTGCGTAATCAGGCTGTTTATATAAGAGTACACATATAAGCCCGATGTATTTTGATTTTTCTATTGTTGTTTAACAAACAATCGTTATGGCTGATTTGGTTATTTTTGTTGCCTGGTGGAAGCTATCGGAAATTAGGATTATTTGCATAGGAAATTAGGGAAGAGTTGGTGAAGGAAGTCTACATATGTTTAAATTGAAGGAAATTATAACTTAAAATTAACTTTTAAGATATTCTTAAAGGAAAAGAATGGCAAATTGGCAATGAAATGAAAACTTAAATATTTTCTAGATTGTATAACATTCTTGTTTATCATTATACAAATCTATCTTTCTATTTGTCTATTAGTGGATTAACCACTTCACAAAATTTTTAAAAATAGTTTCTATTTATTCTTTTAAATTTAAATAATTCCAAAAATATTCATTAAAATTATAAATCAAAAATATCTGAATCTAAATAACCTAATAAATTATTTATATTTACAATTAGTTAATTTATTGTAATTTAATTTAATTTGTTTTTTGCTAACATTTTACATTTTTCAATTATCTACATGTACAACTAAAGCGACATCTGTTGTCTCGTCTAAGAAATTCGGTTCAATTCGCTTCAAGTGGCGAATTCATAGCAAAGACATCAACCGGATATCAACTAAGGCTAACCCGATTCCGCAACCAACTGTCTTCTGTCTTGAATAACTTCCGCCACTTTTTAAAAAATTTGTTCTCCCACAATCTCTCGCTCTCTCTCAGGAAATGTCAAAGTGACATGTCCATTAAACCTGACAATACAAAAGCTATGTGTACGATGAGAGCGAAAAACAAACAGATAAAGATAAAGCCACCCCCAAAAAAGCCGCCCCTTCCCGTATCACGCGGACCCCCAAAAACGCACGATAAGTGGCGAACAACCCCCAAAAAGGCAAAGAAAAAATTCAGGAAAAATACCTGAATAAGATTATGATGGGCCTTGAAGGAAATGCAAGTGCCGAGGAAAATTACTTTCTGGGAGTAGGGGGTTTTCTAATTTCTAAGGATATGCACCACCCACAATCAGCCCTTAACAACAAATGAGTTTGTGTTGGTGTTCTCTGTCAGGAATTTCTCTCTCGAATTCGCTCTCTCTTGGATGCTTTTTGGCTCTGCGCACAGTAATCTCAACGAGATGGGGCGAAAATCTCTAATAAGGATGCCCGATGATGAAAAATTCATGGCCTGGCATCGCACGCATCCTGCGCTGGCTCCTGAGTAAACGAAAACACTCCGACTCAGCCACACACGCAGCGAACACACAGGCTCAGAGATAATATACATATATGTATATATATATATAGTGAAAGACCAACCGAAAAAATCAAGCCAAAATTGAGACAAATTCCAGAAATTGTGCAATATAAATAAAACGCTGCATACCCCTGGGCGCAGGCAGCTAATTTCGAAGCCATATTCAAGAAATTCCTCGAACGCGAGTGCCACACAAAATTCATTTGTTTCCAATAAACCCAGCCAGTGATTGTATAATTTCCATTGCTTTTCCTATTTTCCACGGGTGTGGGCGTCCAACGGCAGCGGCCAAGGAGATATATCTATATGATCCAGGATATACGGATTAACCAAAACTCCGGCAGAGATAATCAGCGAAAATTACCCCAAAAATTACCCCGGCATGAAAACTTAATTGACATAAATTAATAATTCCGAGTTCGATTTGTTGTTGTTGTTGTTGTTTGTGCGCCTACGGTTTTTTTCGGTGAAAGCGAATGCGGGCCCAAAGCGGAATCGGAAAAAGTTACTGAAATACAACGGCCGAGAAAAAAAAAAAACGAATACATAGAGAACTTGCCGCTGCCGTTGCCGCTTGTGAAAGCAAAGAGAAGGAGGAAGAAGGGCGGAGAAAGGAGAAGGAGCGTGGAGAAAGAGAGAAAGGAGAGGAAGAAAGCGCGGAGGAGGACGCGGAGTTGGCGAAAGGGGCCCTTAAGAAGAAAGAGAAAGCAGCTATTACTGCGAAGAGAGAGCCAAAAAAGCCAGAAGAGAAAGCCAGAGGAAAAGTCCAAAAGAGAGAGAGAGAGACACCCATTTTGTGGAACAACTTTCGCAGTGGATGGAAAATTTATAAACAAAAATTGAAATCCACAAGAGAATGCCAAAAAAAACATTTGTTATGCGTAGATAAATAAAAGAAAAAACATATATTTAAGAAATGTAACTTAAATATAAAATAAAGACTCATATCAACACATATCATTCGAATAGTCTTTACCAAAAAATTAAAAACTAAATACTAAAAGCTGAATGCCAGCAATTACCAAAACAAAAAGATATTATACTAACAAGAATAATTAACAAAAGCGAAAGCCATACATATCATGTAAAAGCTCTTAAAATATTAAAAATAAACGGAATGTAAATCAACAAATTAAGATATTTTACCATAACGAAACGTAAACATATCATGTAATACGCCAAAAAAGCTTGCTGAATCCCTAATCAAGCTCTTTATCTTATCCACAAAATACCAAACGAAACCCAATGAACTAGTCTATAAAAAGTTGTGCAAATTATCGCATACATATCAACACTCTTGCAAAGAGTAAATCCCTAGAATAAATCGAAAAATATTAAATTTACAAATATATATATTTAAATATCAAATTGCTTAACGAAAAAAAAAATCATATAAAAGCAATTTTTGTTAGAAGTTTTACATTAGTTGTCAGATATTTAGTAAGAAAAAAATAAAAATATACAAAAATATCGCCACATATCATTGAGGAGACCTCAGCAAGTTGAAGTAGAAAAAGTGAAAATTACGATTAGAAAACTTATCAATTATACAATAGACTG